TTTTTTTTTTGGTGGGTTTTGCAGTACAATGAGATTCTTGGGAAAGGGGCTTCAAAGATTGTGTATGTATATCCCAAAAAGATTTGATCTTTACAGTTTCTTCATCATTTTTTTGTTTTGTTTGCAGTTAATATTTTTTTTACTTTTCTGGGCTTTGGTTGATTTATTATTATTAACTCATGTAATTGAATTTTTTTGCAGTTACAGAGGTTTTGATGAGTATGAAGGGATAGAAGTAGCCTGGAACCAAGTAAAGCTCTGTGACTTCTTGCAGAGCCCAGAAGATCTTGAGAGGCTTTACTGTGAGATTCATCTGCTCAAGACTTTAAAACACAGCAATATCATGAAATTCTACACTTCTTGGGTTGACACTGCAAATAGGAACCTCAATTTTGTGACAGAAATGTTCACTTCTGGTACTCTCAGACAGTAAGTGCTACTTAATTCCTCTCAATTTTTTTCTGTGGTAGCTTTGCAAAGTCTTGAAAAAGAAAAAAAAAAAAAGAAGAAGAGGGAGATGCTACGGTCCGGTTTTGGAATTATTTCGTCGGGGTTTGTAACCGTTAGATCAACTATCCCTGACGGTTACATGATGATCTAACGGTTATAAACGGTGACGGAATGCCCCCCTTGATGTTCTTAGATTTGTATAGATTCAGTATTTTGTGTGATTGATGTAATCTAATTCATGTGTTACCTCATGTTTTAATGCTTGATCTGATGGGGGGAAAAAAGGTATAGGCTGAAACATAAGAGGATCAACATTAGAGCAATCAAACAGTGGTGCAGGCAGATTTTGGAAGGCCTCCTTTATCTTCACAGTCATGATCCTCCTGTCATTCATAGAGACCTCAAGTGTGACAACATTTTCATCAATGGAAACCAAGGCGAAGTTAAAATCGGTGATCTTGGCCTTGCTGCAATTTTAAGGAAATCCCATGCCGCTCGGTGTGTAGGTTAGTGTTGAAGCGTATGAATCTGAGCAAAATTTAGTGAGATTCTGTTTGTGGAAGAAGTGTCTTGTTTATTATGGCAAAAGATAGTAAAAGAAATTACGATTTGAACAAATTCAAGAACATGGTCGGCGAATAATTTATAAAATACTATAAAAGTATAAATCAAGAAAGACCATATTGCGCCTCGTTTTCTCTTAAAACTCTAGTTAAAATTATGGAGAAACTACTTTGACAAACACTTAATTCCATAGTAATGTATGATAAAAGCTAAAGCTGGAAATACTTCTGCTAGTGGAAAGAAGTGATTTACTATAGCAAGAGCTAAAAAAAGAAACTAAAGGTTGAACTAATTGAAGTAAGCGCTTGGCCAGTAATTTCTCGATTATTTTCAGGAACACCCGAGTTCATGGCCCCTGAGGTGTATGAAGAGGAATATAACGAGTTAGTTGACATCTACTCTTTTGGCATGTGCATTTTGGAAATGGTGACCTTGGAGTACCCGTACAGTGAGTGCACTCACCCCGTGCAAATTTACAAGAAAGTCATTTCTGTAAGAGCCTGAAGGTTTTACGAAGTTGCCCCATTTGGGAAAAACAAAAAACAACCAAAACTTCTTTCTGTTAATATTTTTTTTTAATCATATTTTACAGGGGAAGAAACCGGAAGCCCTTTACAAAGTAAAGGACCCCGAGGTGCGAAGATTTGTCGAGAAATGTCTTGCAACAGTTTCAGACAGGCTGTCGGCTTGGGAGCTTCTGAATGACCCATTTCTTGAGATCAATGATTACTCGTGCGAATTTAGTTATCAAAGTGATTATGATGAAATCGACCCTTTCTTGAGACAACCGCTTTTGCTTCAGCATCACAGCAAGGACAGTTCTTTAGTCAACGGATATTCTAATTGCATTGATTACGAGCAAGAGAATGAGTTTGATTTATTCACGAGTCATGAGGATGATTGTTTGGAAAATGTGGGTATTGCTATCAAGGGGAGAAGGAATGAGGACGGGAATATCTTTTTGAGACTCAGAATCAGTGATAAAGAAGGTAAATGTTACATTTTTTTTTTTTTTTTATTTTCGAAGTGTTCAAGACCATGATCTTTTTCGTTGATATATATTGGGCAAATGGGTCTTCAGAAATGTTTGTGTTTCTCCTAGAATCAATTTGTTGCAGCTAAAGCTACAGTAGTTGAATAAAAAAATTGAATCTTTTATGTCTCTAATAGAATCTTTTTTCCCCCCTTAGGCCGAGTTCGAAATATTCACTTCCCGTTTGACATTGAAACTGACACGGCCTTTAATGTCGCGGCCGAAATGATAGCCGAGCTGGACATAACCGACCAAGAAGTTAGCAAAATAGCAAAAATGATCGATAACGAGATTGCCTTCTTGGTGCCCGACTGGAAATCGGGCTTTGGTGACCAAGAAGGAAGTGATTTCTGTCAGAATTACTGTTCTGATGATTCTATACCGGGCCACTCATCCTCGTCTCACGGGCCTGGTAAGGGCCCACAATTATCTCAATGCTCCAAACATGAATGTGGGTCCGTGCATGGCCGGTTTGAAGAGATCATGTACCGAGTTGAAGGACCTGAGGATTGCATTTCCGATTTTGCCCCGGATAGCTCGGGTCACATTCCTCTCGATAATGATGAGGAAGTTGTAGAAGAAAATGATGAGGATAAATCTTGTCGGGATCACGAGACTATGCAAAAACTGAGGTGGCTGAAGGCCAAGTACAAAATGCAGGTATTGGAGCTCACAGAAAATAACTCGCATTTTAGTCGAGAGGTTTATAGTTACGAGCTCCCGTATAACTCTTGCAGTCCGGTGCACCTTGCGACAACCAAGAGTTTTTATTCTGGTGCTATGCACCCACACTCACTTCACCGGGCGACTTTCCAACCGATTGATGCTGTAGATTCTTAGGAACGATTGTCGATGATTATACATTGTTGTACTATTGTTTTTATATAATTTATGGACAATTTGACAAGTTGGTTTGATTGAGAGTTACATGTAGTGTGGTCATGTCTTGGTGCAAGGTTTTAGCAGCTTGTAGATTTTTCAACTTACAAATGAATGTGATTGTCACTTGTAAGTTGCTAGGATTTGGTATTTTACTAACTTGATTTTTTATAACAACAATTAATGCAAAATTTGGTCATGAAAGTGAAATAGACCTTCTTGTGTTACCTAGACATGGCCAAAATCCGGGCCGGGTCACGACCCGGCCC